CCCTTTAGCCCTAAATTTTAAAAAGGGTTTTTTTTTTTTTTAAAAAAAAAAAAAAAAAAAAAAAAGAAGAAAAAAAAAAGGACAGCAAAACAAATAACAACAACCCCAAAACAGCAGCCAGGAGGTTTCCCGTGGCGTTCATTTCTGGGAGCTTTCTCCGGAGCAGGAGCCGCTCCGGGCTCCGCTCGCCCAGCGCTGCCAGGGCTGCGGGAGCCGCTAACGCCGCTATCACCGCCGGCCTCAGACTAAACACCGAGCTGGGCTGAGCCCCAGCTTTCCCCGCTGCCATGGCAGCTAGAGCCGAGCAGGCCTGCTGCGGGGGAGGCTGTTTTTAGCCGCTTTCCCCTCGGCCGGGCCGCGGCCGGGCTGCAGCTCCCCCTGTCGCTCTGAGTCCCGGCTGCTCGAGGGGAGCCCGCGATGGGGATGCGGTGGGGCCGAGCCCTCTGTGGGACTGCTGTGGGGCCGAGCCCTCGCTCGGGATGCGATGGGACGGAGCCCTCTGTGGGGCCGCCATGGGGCCCAGCCCTCGCTCAGCTCCCTCGGGGCTGCCCCGGAGTTGGTTGCTGGTTTTGTTGTCTCAAGGTGGGCCAGGCTCCTGCACTGCTCCGGGTGTAAAGGAGGGACAAGACACACATTGGCTTCCCCTCTTGTTTTTGGGGTTGAGATTCCTGTTAGGGGGTGCAAAAAGGTCTCAGTGTTACTCCCAGTGTAGAAATGACTTGTCACCCTGACGGGGAATTCTATGACGGCTTGTTCTTTCGTTCGCTGGGACTTGAGCTGCAGGCCGTGCCAGCTGATCCCGTGTGCCAGTGGCAAAGGAAGGTGAGATCTGTTCCCCAGGCTGAACTCCCTGTGCCCTGCCCAGGACCCCCTCCTGCAACGCTGCACAGGGAACTGCAGATACCCCAGAGCCTGGCAGCAGCAGGGCTGGAGGGCAGCGGTGCTGCTGCAGCTCCTTTCCCAGACATTGCCACTCCTCTGGAAGGCACCTGTGCTCTGCGGGTGGAGGTCCTGTGGAGGGTTAAGGAGCTGGAAGTGCACGGGAGGCAGCATCCTTGAGGGGCTGGAGCTGAGGAGGGCTCTGCCCATGGCCATGCACGCAGGGGTTTGTGCCAGAGCATCCCAGACATGCAGGGGAGCATCCACAGACGGGACAGGGCACGGCTGGAGGGTCCCCTCGCTGAGCACACCCGTCTGTAGGGCAGGGACACAGGAGAGAAGGATGCCTGGGCAGCACAGGGTCCTCTCAGGGGTTCCAGCTTCTCCTTGAACTGCTCGGTACTCTGCAGTGGCAAAGAGCCGACGGGGAGTTTTTCTCTTCAGGTCTGCACCGGGCTTGAATGGCAATTCAAAATAGCGGTCAGTGTGCAGGAACAGCTCTGGTTCAAGGAGGAAACCTGATTTTGGTCCAGGTTTGGTTTGACTGATTATATCCAGGAAGTCCTCCCACTGTGCTCTCCAGTTTCTGATCCTGCTGTGTTAAATAGCAATTTGGCTCAATTGCATTATTTGAATCCAGTGGGCTGCATTTAACCTGGCATTAAAATGCATGTTTGGGCTTGTATCTTTTAAATTTGATATGAAGACAGCTGTATGCATTTTCCCTTGTTTGTAAATTGTATACATATGATATGATGTTTTCAGTAAGCGCTAAACAATGCAATGTGAGGCATTTCAACAAAGGAATAATTTAATGCAACCCAGCAGAAATGCAGAGCCTTAGAAGTGGTTCTTTATGAAACTACAAATTTTGGAAATGGGTCCAGAAGACCTACACTGGAGCAACACAAGAAACAATAGTTAACACAGTAACATTTTTCCTGTAAGAAAAATACACCATGAAGAAATTATATTTTGCCTATTTTTTTTTAGCTTGTTGATTTACTTGAATGCTTTAGTTGGCATATTTTGTATTTGTTGCATGGTAGGGATTAAAATTCTCATTTCTTCACCAAAAGAGAATTTTGTCGCACAAGATGCGCTTTAAACCAAACGAGATTTTTTTTTGGTCAAGTGCAAATTTGTCTCACATATTTTGTTCCAGTTCAAAGAAGGTTAACACATTGTTACATTCTTTCATCTTCAGTTTAGCTTTAGCAGAATGAGACACATTTCCTTCTTGAGAGCCACAACTGTCCCTACCTGCACAGGTGGAGGAAGGGTTAGGAAGGGCTGCACAGTTTGTTGGGGCAAATTCTTAATTTCTTCTTCTTATTAACAGTTATTAATGAGCTCTGCTGGAGCTGATGGGAACCAACCTCAGCTCCCACCTTGCTCAGAGTGTGGGTACTGCCATGAGCCCTCCTGGCGATCTGGGCTGGGTTAAAGAACAGAGAGAGAGAACCTGGTACTTCCTGCTAAAGAAAGGGAGCAAAAACACCGTGTGAGACATGGATTGGGATAAATGCAGCAACAGAGGGTGCTGGAGGGTGCTGGACAGCTGGCTGGGGGAGCAGGCTGGCTGGCAGGAACAGTCTCTTGGGCTGTTTATCCAGCACACAGCAGTGCCAGGCAGGACTTGTGTGAGCTGTCAATTGTCAGCTCAGATTCGGCGTGCAGGTGGAATGGAGCATCTACAAAATACTCTTTGTAACTAAACTGATGGAATTGCCTCCACACAGCCCTGAGGTGGACCTTACTGCACACAAAAAGGTAAAGTGTTACACAGCTACCAGAGGGACTCAGCAGAGTTGGGTGTTACCCTTGGATGAAGGGAGGGAGGGATAAGTGCCAGCCTGGACCGCAGGTAGAATGTGCTTGGAGATCACACTGCTGCTAACTCTTGCTCTGGAGTCTCTTATCAGAGGATGACACAGTCCAAATTAAAGTGCAGGGGTTTGCAGTACATGGGAAAATTAAATGAAGGCACTTCAGTGTTCCCAAAAAACTGTGACTCCATAGCACTTCCTGAAGTTGACAGAAAAATGCATTAGTGGTAAATTAATGAATCCCTGGCCACGATTGGCATTTTCAAAACTGGCCATCGATACAAAGCCTCAAAATGTGCCTCAGATTCAGGCACATTGGTAGGGCTGCAGTTTGCCCAGGTATGCAAGAAGCTGCAGATTTTCCTGCTTCTGCAGCGTGGACCTGAAGTTGCTGCAGGCTGTTTTCCCCAGTCCTGTTGCCTGCTCTGTGCCTGTCCAGGCTGGGACTGAGCCCTGAAAGCCGGGAATAGCGACCCTGCCCTGCTGGTTTGCGTGGCTCCAGAAGGTAATGATGTGTGGAGAACCCCCAGGCTGTGCACAGCCATGGGTGAGAGGGTAAAGCATGGCAGAAACCCTTTCCTCCTTCACCTCTCAGGGGTGTCTTGCTCCAGCATAGGTGGCAGTAGGATTGTTGTGTGTGTGAGCACGTGCATGTCCCTGTAACAACAGCCAGAGGTGCCAGGTGTGTGCTCTGTGTTTGTGCTCATTGTTTGTTCTCTCTCTCTCTCTCTCTCTCTCTCTCTCTCTCTCCAGTCGAAGACCACCCCCTTCACCTACTCGGCCCACTGTAATCCGTCCGTTAGATTCATCCCTGTTAGACTAAAAGGAGTTTCTGGCATGTCATTCCTTGTTAACCAAATCTGTGGAAACAAATTGCTTGGTAACTGTCACAATAACCAATGTATAGTCGCATGTATGGACATCTATAGGCAAGTAACCAATTTTACTGATATACTCTGTCCATCCCACATTGTTTATGAAGTCTTCAGTGTTTGGGGAAGGTCTGTGCTGCCTTGACTTTTCCTTCTGCAATAACTGATGTTAGCTAACTTACTGACACATATCTCCACCCAGACAACTGTGCTCACAGTCCTCTGCAGCACATGGAGGGCTCGACTCTGTGTGTGTTTGTGCATGTGTTGATTTGATCTGCTGCTTTTTTGTTTCCTCTTAGCTGAAAGGAATCTTGCTTTTTTTTGCACCTTCCAGGTTTTCTGTTTTCTCTTGTAATGGCTAAACTGGGCAAAGAAAAGCCATGTGGTTTCTTACCAAGCTCTTCTGAAGGCCCCACATTTCCAGGTCTCTCTTGCAAGAGGCTTACTTCTCCTATAAATTCTCCTTATCCGAAATCTAGTTTTAAGCAATGTTGTTAAATGAGCAGGGTGTGCATGGGACAAGGCACATTTTGCTTTATTTCCATGCTGGCAGCTGCGGTGCCAGGTTGGGGTGCCCCAGCTCACAGGGCTCAGCATGGAGCTGTCCCAGCCTGCAGCCAGGATGGGACAGGGTGCTTTGGAGGGCTGGGGTGTGACAGAGCAGCCTGTGCCAGTGCCTGCTCCCACTCCTGCTCCCACTGCACTCCTGGGCAGCACTGGGGGGCAGTGAGTGCATGGAAATGCATGGAAATGTGCTGTGTGCAGGATCCAGGGAACTGAGCACTGCTTTAGGTCCTTCTGTGACACAGAAGGACACAGAGATACAGAGAGAGCACAGCTGGGCCTGGGTCCCCTTCCCCTGCCCACTGTGGGAGCCAGCTCACAGAGCTCCAGCCTGAACTGGCAGCTGAGCTCCCCAAGGGCTGGGCTTGGCTGTGAGATATTTGTGATGTTTTCACATGCCAGTCAATGCCCCCGGTGTAAAGATTTTCTTTTTGCATTACATGGTCCTTGCTTTACCTTGGTTTACTGCTGCTTTATCCAGCTGTGTTCTGGGAAGTCCTCAGCTGTGCATCCTGGATTATTTTAGCAGCTGCTCACTTGCAGGGGTCCTCTCTGCCTCTTGTTTTGCACGTTATAAATTAATGCATTATAAAAACCTTTTGTCTTAACTGCATTACTTCACTTTAAACACTTAGGGTCAGTGTCACCCTTAAAGCTTAGAACTTACTGAGTTAACAGAATGAAACTAGAGAGGAATTTGGCCTTGTTCCTTCAGAAAATATGAATTGCTGCTATTACAGTTATGGTTACAGATCCCTGGGCAAAGCAATTGGTGGTTTCAAAGGTCCCCAGTACAATCAGTGTAATAAATGTATTTATTGAGACTGCTTGTAGGGCTCCAGTATGCTGTGGTCCCATGGTTAGGAAGAATCCAATCAAAGAGCAACAACAAATGGGGATTTAGCCTATTAATTCCCAGGCTGCTGATTAGCTGTGCTCACCAGTGCAGCAAATCATGTTTCAGCTTGCAGAAGAGAGACAAGCTTGGGAAAGCATCATGATTTGTATGTTAGCTTAACTTCAATTTCCTGTCAACCCCGTACTTGTGACAAGTGCCTGGGGAGTCTGCAAGTGACATCTGATGCACGGTGAAGATGGAGTTTGTCAGATCACTGGCATCATGGTGATGGCAGCAGACTGCTGAAGTGGCTGCTGTTTGTTTGTTTGTTTGTCCACATCTCCAGTGCCAATGCACAGAATCAGATTTCAAGGAAAAGGTTATGAACACAACCACAGTCATACCAATTTTTACTACAAAAAAGAAAACATATCTTGGTGATTCTTCTACACAGCTTTCCACTGCTCTCTGCTCTCTGCTGTAACCTGTGCTGCATCTGTTTGGTATATTTTTGTAAATAGCCACAGTAGCCCATATTGTTGCCTTGCCAGCACTCCTCAATATCCCAACAGTTTATCAGAACTCTGTTACTGACTGGCAGCTGATGGAAAGCCAGGTTCATTGCCTGATCACTGATATCACTTCTGATATCAGAATATCAAATTCTCATACTCACTTGGTGATAGAAGACCAGGCTGGATGGGTCTTTCAGCAACCTGATCTAGTGGAAGGTGTCCCTGCTCATGGCAGGGGGCTTGGAACAAGATGAGCTCCAAGCTCCCTTCCAGCCCAGTCCATTCTAGGATACTGCAAGGCCACAGTGGGTTTAACCCACCATAACCCAAAGACTCAGCTTAGCTGTCCTTTGTTCAGTGGGAAAAACATCTCCTCCAGGAGGTGATTCAGGCCAGTGTGGCTGCATGGGACACGAGGACAATGCTGGTAAGTCAGGAGCCTCAGTTGCATGGCACAGATCCTGTCCTAAAAATGAGCTTTTAAATGCTCTCTACTTGAGACTCCCTAATTTACTTTGACTGTTTCTGCCAAGCATAAGGAAGTAGGTGGCACAACTGAGCACTGTCCTTCGCTCTGCCCCCAAGAAACTATTTCTCAGCAGTAATCCTGAATTGTAAATAAAGCTCCCAAGGGTGGATTTACCTGAAAAAGGAGGAGGAGGCAGTGAGGTGTCAGCACCATCTGGTTCTGTGCTTGATGCTGAGGGTGCAGGACACAGCTGCACAGCCCTCCTTCTCCTTCCTCTGCATCCTCATTCAGATCTCATCTAAATCTGGCCCTGTGCTCTAAATGCAACACTTTTAGGTGTGCAGGTTAATAAACAACCGTGAGCACAAATCCAGTGTTTAATGGTTTCACCTCTTCTTGCGTATGTGCTTGTGAGAATAAACCACGTAGAACTGTTCCTAGGAAAAACACTTAAATGCTTCCCAAGAAATTGCCACATCCAATTGAGTAAGTACTGTCCTTCAGCCTTGGCTCACTCCCTTCTGCTCTGGAGTGCCTGGAATGGGTTTGTTTGTCCCACTTAATTCCTGATGCTAGCGAGTCCCATCCATCCTGTCCCTTGTTCTCGGAGCAGCAGCCTCAGCAGCAACTCCATGCCCGAAGGAAAGCAGGACAAGCACCCTGTGGATCTGCCAGAGGGACTGAGCCCCTCTGCAGACCCACTTAGGTGGGATGGGCCAGGTCTGAGCTCCGTGTCTGAGGAGCACAGGTTGCTGTGCCTTGCTCCGATTCCCTGTGGCACAGCTCCGATTGCCGGGGCATAGTGGAACAATAACGAAGCAACACCGGTGTTTCTGATCTTACAGAAAGATCTGGCTGGTGTAGCTGCTAAGTTTCAGGAGGTTGCTCATCTAATACTGCATTTAGGCCGAGCCTGGATCTCTGCCTAGAGAACATTTCCACCTCACCCCATCGTTGCTGACCAACAGCCGAAGAGCTTGCGTGTGCCGTGAACGGCTCTCGGCCTTGGATCTCAAGGGATCTTGTGCTAGGGTTAAAAAGATTGTATGTTCAACAAAAAGGCTTATGTACATAGTTAATGTGTGTTTATTTTATTGCTGATCTTGTTGCACTTTCTGAGTAAGCCTCCTAAAAGTAGATTATTTATTATATTAAAGAAAACACATTATAGATTATGGCATTTCGTGTTCAAGTATAACATAGAAAATATTATCCTCTCTGTTCCAGACAGCTCCACTAACCATGATGTTCACAGCACACTGAGATTCCTAACTAGTTCTATCCTTCTGTCTTAAAATAGCCCAAACCTGATTTAAGAGCAGACCTATTTTGTCCCTGTGCCACCAAGGAGCCTCCTGGGGCACTCCTGGCACAGCTCCTCCTGCTGTGGCACTGCCCCTGCTCCCAGGCTGGAGCAGAACAGCTCCCTTGTGTAAATGAATGTTACTCTGCCTGTCTTTCCTCTTGCTTTGTCTGCAGGCGAGCTGATGCCGATGGCTCCTCCCGTCCAGACAGTCCTCCACTCTTGCTTGATCTATGATTTGTCCCGCCTTGCCGGCCGTTTGCTTTACTGCTGTCTCTTTACTTTTCCAGGACGGGATAAACGATGACTTCTTTTTTGTAAGAAGCAAACACTTAATTTCTTTCTGATTTTTTTTTTTTTTTCTTCTCTGTATGTTAATGCCCTACTTCATGTGAGCCAAAACATCTGCCTTTGGTTTCGTAATCTGTAAATGGTTCCTGGTGTTGACCTTTGAGCACAGCGAGTGGATTCCCAAAACTGTGGTCATTACTGAGCATCACATACACCTGCTGTAAAAATGTTATGCTGCATTTCTGAACCTGAAATAAACTGAAATTCATGATGGGCTTTTATTATTACTTTCTGGATGTGTATGAGTGGTGTCTTCTGTCTCTTGCACCATCATCTCAGCATTCCACACTGCCTCGGTGGGGACTGCAGGGAGGATTTATTGGAGGTGCTGTTGTGCTGAGATCACTGGAGATGTCATTAAAGGGGAGGTGGAACCCGTTGGGAAGCATTCAGCCTGCTCCCCTGCAAGGGGCTTGGAGTGCTGCAGAGATATTTTGCTGGGAAATGGATGAATGTTTTACAAGCAGTACCTGGGATTCACTTCATTGCTGAGGAAAGCACGTTCAGAGGAGTCTCAGAGCTGTGCAGAAGGCCAGACTTGAGTCCTCCAAAGGAGGAGCTGGAGTTAAAATGTGCCTGAAAGGGATTTCCCCCTAAAGGTTGTGTAGGAATGTGCAGATGTCCTGATTATTCGGTTCCTCCTGCAGGTCAGGATGAGCCAAGTAGCTGCAGTCGGTGCTTGGAGATGCTCTGTAGGGCACAAAGAGCACGAGAGTTCCCTGTGGGAACACCACAGTGCCTAAATGGGTCCTTAGGTTTTGGGAAAAGAGGGAGCAAAAGGTGGGATGAGCACAGCAGGGCCATCCCCGCTGTATTCTGTGACATTTGGAGATTTGCTGGTGTTTATTGGCCGTGGCTGAGGCAGTTTGTGCTCCCCAAGGGAACAGCAGTGTCCCACATGTCCCCTC